CTGTTATGCCTCTTTTCTTCACACACACACACACAGACACACACACACAGACACACACACAGACAGACACACACACAGACACACACACACACACACAGACACACACACACACACACACACACCAGGACTGTTTCCAGGATGCTTTTGGCTCCTTGACAACCCTTTCCTGTTTTGGAAGCGAAAAAGTGACATTTAAAAAGCCAGAGAGGTTTTGCTGAAAAAACAAGATTCCCCTGACTGAAAGGAAGGAGAAGTTTCTCACAGGCAGGGTTACACCACCCCATGGCACTATCCCCTCTAGTCAGGCCGGCTCTCCATGCCCCTCCCTTTCTGGCCCAGCATCACCTAAACTGTTTGTGGCAGTCTTTGTCCTTTCTCCATGTGTCAAAAACTATGAAACTGTCCACAGCCATCAACTCCTGACACACAGTATGGACAGGGAAGATAGCCTGAGAGCTCTGAAAGCGGCTCTTTCTCCTGACCCTACATCCACCAAATGGTTCTCGCCAGCATTTACTTACAACCCAAATGCCTAGCACCAGCCAAGAATATGCCAACTAGCTAAAAAATACATATGTGTGGCATCAAAGAGTCCATCATGAAAAAACAAAAATGAAACAAAAAACCACCACCACCTTCCTACACGCACAGAGGCCATGGGAATACACACACAGAGATACACAAACAGACACATACACAAACACACCATGGATTCTACACAAAAATCTGACTTGGCAGTGGGTAGTAGTGATGTGATCTTAGGTTCTTTTAAAAACAGGCCTTCAGGAGACTAAGGGGGGATGACTCTATGGCTGGATAGGAGGGTCCCTGGAGTCCCTGTGCACATCTGACCAGGCAGGGTTTCCAGGAAGCAACAGCTGGAGAGACCCTCGGAAGGAGAAGAGCGGCCTTAGAATGATGGGCAGAAAAGGTATCTTCTTTTCAGCCCCTACCAGTCACTGAGGACAGAGGGGTAACACAGAGGGGCACAGTGAATGTTTTTTTTCAAGGCCAAGTTCCCACTTGTCTGTCATATTTTGGGCCAGGAATCCTGCCAGACCATGTTAATTTCTGAGCTCAAGGCCCATTGTGGTTTGGATAGAATTTAAGTATGTCTCCCTAGATCTCACAGGTTGGAGGCTCAGTCCCAGTGTGGGACCTTTAAGAGCATGGGCCTAGTGGAAGTCAAAACAGCTCAGAAGTGTCTTAATATAACAAAGTTTGAATAATAAAGGTCTCTCCTAGGGAAATACATTGTTAAAGTGTATTTGGGGGACTCTAACAGTTTAGGTTGGTCTCTTCTTCATTGACCCAGCCTTTTCCTTAACTACCTTTCTTAAATTTTATTAGCACTTTTTTTCTTTTAATGAATACACTTCACAGAGCAGCAGGCTGATGGTACCAAGTCCTGACTGTCTCTACATGAAGAGGTGGAGCCTCGGAGGCATGAGACACATGTAGCTGGAGTTAGCCACTTGGTGGGCTCTTCTTTTCACCCGGCACCACCCTTTCAGCCCCCTAACACTAGGTAGAAGGGAAAAAAGGTTATAAAGGAGAAACATGATCATTAGACTACTCCCTGCTGATTAGGGGCATCAAGTTCCTTGGGGCAAGTTTGATCTCTGCTGTTAGGATATCTAATTTCTTTTTCTTGCTGTTTCTTCTTTGCATAAGACTCCTTAACAAACGGTAACCAGCAACCAACCACCAACCAAGAACCTACCACCAGAACCAACAGTCCTGCCTCTTGGGGTCTTAGCATTTAGATATATCTCTGAAAAGTCCTTGGAATTCCAAATGTTACACAGTTGCAGAAACTGTCTGCTGTTGTTAAAATAACACCCCTGCTAGAGCACGAGGCAAATCATAGCTGCTGTGGACAATCTGAAGCAGCCCCACACCCCACACCTGGGATCAAAACAAAAATATATTCCCATATTTGTGTTTTTTAAAGAAACTCAAATGCCAAAACTGTCACTACAGACATGATACACGGCACATCAGCTATACCACTGACTAGCTCTGACCTTATGCAAGTCACAGAGCTGGCTTGGTCTATCTCTTCAACAGTATTAGGATCAGAACCTGCATCCTACAGTAGCTCAGAGGACCACCTAGCTAATGCAGAGCCCTGGAAAACATGATCAGGCAAAGAACAATGCCAGCTAGTACGCATTATTACCCAGGTCACCTGACAGCACAGCTAGGCACCCGAGGCATACCTAGGGCTACTATTGTTAACAATAAAGGTTTGAGACATTTGGAGCTTTTGAGAGTGTATTTGAAATGCACTAAGACCTGGGTGTTCTAGGAAAAGCCATGTCAGCTCCACTCTTCAACGTGGGAAAAAAATCGTTTTGACAGAGGACTTTTTATATTGACTTTAAAAGATAAGGATTCTGCATTTGATCTAACCAGGGATAAAACAATCCAAACATCAGACTGAATTAAATGACCAACAACACAATTTCTCTGAATAGCCTATAAGTATCATTAGCAATATTCAGTAGTTCATGTATTCTGCATATTAGGTTGTCTTTGCAATGCTAGGGTTGGAGCTTGCATGCACTAGAGAAGTACTCTATCACCGAGCCCCACCCTTGACATTAAATTTGTATCAGTCTTTTCCCAGTTAGTGGGAAATATCCCAGTAACTGGGAAATATCTTTTCCCAGTTAGTGGATTACATTTTCACTTTCTTGGATAATCACAAATTCAACCTTTGCTAAAAACTGCTTCTATAGACATCTACACCTTCAGGTTGACATTTAAGTAATTGGTGTTTTGAAAAAAAATTTAGATATAACAATATTCCTTATAAAATTTATTTTGTTTTACACACAATCAAATTGTTAGATAGTTCTTTGAAAATATTATTTGCACACAAAAGACTATGACCCAGTTCTAACCAGTCTGTTTCTTTTGCTTCTGTTGTTTGTGGCAAGACATCCTGGGGAGCTCACTGGGTCCAGTGGAGTTGGGAGCCATGGCCGCCATCAGCCTGAGTTCTTTCTTATTTCACCCAAGAAGTCATAGGTCTGCTCCGAAAGGTCAAATGGTTTGTGAACTCCATCTGGTGACAGCAGAGCCTTCAGGGAACCCTCGTTCTCTCGGCTCTGCCTGAGGAAGTCGGCGATGGCTTTCCATCTAGCAGCCTCTGTCTCTTCCTCAGCCCACCTAAAGGGGGGCAGCAGTGTAGAATGCAGAAGAGGGAGCACGCAGTCATGGTAGACCAGGAGGAACTCGGCCTTTAGGAGTTCTTTGTCTCTCTAGGAAAACATCACCACAAAGGAACTATCAATAGCCTGGCATCATTGCTCTCAAAGAACAGAATCCTGTGAGCTGCCAGTGAAAGCCACTGAGGAGCAGGGCAGAGGAGCTGGCAGGGGCTGCATGAGCTCAGGGCTGTGAGAGGGTCATCACGGAGTTTAGAGTTCTCCCTAAGAACTCTGCAGAGGCTCTGTGAAAGCAGGGGTCTCCTAAGCTCCACTTAGAGTGTCACATGTTCTGTCAAGGAGACCAAAGTGTTGCAATCTACTGTAGTGACAAAACACACACACACACACACACACACACACACACACACACACACACACACAGACCCTACAGTGCAAAGTGGCTATGTAGACTTTAACTGGATTATTATCTGCCAAGAAATAATTGTCTCAATGCCAGAGAGAAGTGGGGAAGTGGGGCTGGGCATGGTGGTGCACACCTTTAATTCCAGCACTCAGGAGACAAGGGCAGGCAGACTCTGTGAGTTCGAGGTCAATTAGGTCCATTTAACAAGATGCAGGCCAGTCAGGGCTACATATTAAAACCTTATCTACAAAAAAAGAAGAGAAGTGGCAAGCACTCTGGGGTCTAGAGAAAGGAGGCCCAAGCAGAGGAGACTACTGGTGGAGTGAAGCTCATCAGCCTGAGGGCGTCAGACCCTCTCCAGATAAAGGGAGGATCCACCTAGCCTGCCACCAACAGGCTGGGGTGGGATCTCAGAGGCACTGAGCTGAGCACAGAGGGCTCCACACAGCCTGCTGCACATGGAGAGTGCCCAGGCACACCATCTATGTGGGGCAGCTTCCAGGAGCCTGAGGCCCTGCACCTCACCCACTGTGCTAGAAAGATCTGGAACCTACAGACTGGGTGAAGTGCGGTGTTTCTGGTCATGTGGAAGCTCAGGCTGGTTCTTACTCCTGCTCTGATGTTTAGGCTTTTTCTTTTTTCTCTTTTCTTTTTTCTGTTACATTTCTAGTAAACAATTAACACTTTCAGGTGTATCCAACCTTTTGGCATTGAGACAAACTCTTGAAAACCATGTAAAAATTTTTCAAAAGAAAATTTCTGAGAACACTTTCTAAAGTGTTCTAAGTACAGTCCCAATCTTATGTTGGGCCACACCCACAGCTGTCCCAGGGCACATGTGGCACATGGGCTGGGGTCTACCTGCTACATCATGAAGTAACAAACATGAGTCTGGTGTGGCCTCTACCTCCTTTCATAAATAAATGTTTATAGAAATGTTACTTGCCATCTATGCTGCTTTTTCTTGATGATAGTAACTCACTGTGGGAGAGACAATGTGCCTTACAAAACCTGTCTGAAGTCACTAGCTGGTCCTAAACAGAAAATGTTTGTCAAGTCCTGGATTCCAACAGTGGTCAAGGCCAGGCTTTCGAGTTAGCCCATGCATCTGCAGCAGTGTAAACCAGTGTAAACCAGTGTAAGCCAGACCAGGCACCCACTCAGCGCATCCACCACTTGGGCCAGCTCACCTCTCCCTTCTCTTACTTGGTGTGTGTGTGTGTGTGTGTGTGTGTGTGTGTGTGTGTGTGAGAGAGAGAGAGAGAGAGAGAGAGAGAGAGAGAGAGAGAGAGAGCTAGCTCTAGGGCTTTACAAAAACAAAGGACATTTGCCAGCTAGCTGCAAGACTCGTTTAGAGACTTCTTCAGTAAATAAAACTCAGGGATCTGAAATGCCTGGCTTAGGGGACTTCTACATAAGAAGTAAACATGCTGCTTTCTTAGCTGTGCCTGTGTGAGCACAATGACACAGTTTAGCTGAGGAAGGGGTTACATCTAGGGCTGCCTCACTGAGACACAGGTCTCATTAGAATGCATGGGAGATCAGTCTTGAGGTCAATGTGAAACCCAGTTACCTTCTCTGATCGCTTTAGTGTGCTTTCTTTCTCAGCCCAGGAACTCTGCAGAAGAGAACAGAAACACTATCAGTCAGCGCATGCACAAGTCCTGGCAACACCTTCTGCAGCTTCACCTTGTAGTTAAAGATATGGGCAGGGTCAGGATTGTTGTACAGCATCTAATGTGAAAGAGGCCACACTGTCAATGGCATCTACTGCCAGCAACCCTGAACCAGCTTGACAGGGAGGGCAGGCACATCTTCGAAGAACACCTCAGAAACTTGTGCTTATTATAGACAACTTACAAAAAGAATGGGTCCCCACCCCATGCCACCACACACAATGCCCAGATGCTGACACAGTTACGAGCTTCCAAGGTGAGACTGCAACAGAAACAGGAAGTCCTGCCAAGTCCTCTATGCCAGCGACTGCCTGCTACACTGGTGACACGGATGGGACAGACAAGTCCATTTGCAAGTAAACATTTCCACGGGCTTCACAAAAGCTTCTTTAAACAGAGAAGCTAGAGATCAAGGGATCTCACACAGGGATGAACTGAAGACCTTGGCAAAGCAAGTTCCTGGCAGTCTGTAATGCCGGGTGAATTCCCCAGTCTCCAGGCTGACTGCCTAGGACTGCTTTTGTGTGGATTTGTAGATAACTACCTATTGGTACCTGACTCTACGGGTATTCTCGAGACACCAACTCTTCCTGGGTAAAGCAGTCCATAGGTGCCTAAGGTCACATCGTGCTGACATAGGGACCCAATGCCTCTTGGAGAAAGGATGTGAATGGGCTGACCATGAAATGTTGGTGTGGCCAGGTTGTTTCTGCCTCCTGGAGTTGTGTTAGGGTGGAGTTCCTGCCACCCTATTAACTTGCACCTACTGCCTCTAGGTTGAGAGAACCCTTCAGAGCCTCAGCGTTTTACAATAGTCAGGTGTCATCATTATTAACATACCAACCACAAAGTGAACTTAGCTGAGTAAAGCCCAAGACTCACACACTTTATAACATACATCTTAAAGACAACATGGCTCAATGTGAGCATTACTTAGTAACGTAGACTCTCTGTAAAATTGCTCTCTGTTTGTCAGTCAGTGTGGAGACTTGACCTGAGCTTTTAGTCCACAGAAAGCAAATGGGGGGGGGGGTTCACACAGAGGGACTGGGGGATAGAAAACAAGATACACCCTTTTCCTTTTGGAACAAACAGATGCCTATCTTTCCCAGCTCCCTTCCAGTTAAGCAGAACACATGACTGGTTCTGGCCAATGAAATGTGAGCAGAAATATACAGGCTCTTGAGGCAGAGTGGGAAGTTCAAGGTCAATCCCCTACCTTTTCTCAAAAGGACAAAGGACAACAGAGAGAGCTATTCATTCTAAATGGTTCTAGGAGAGAACAGGGCCTTCCTTCACCAGCCTTCACCCTTGGGTAGCTATGGGATGGAGTCACACTGCAAGGGACCCAGGATGAGAAACAACCCTCTTTTTAAAGACACCCTATCTGAGGCTTCTTCTCAGACCTGCCTGCCCTGTGAGGCCTGCCTGCTTTCTTGACCTCTGACTTGGGAAGCACTGCTGACTCTCTCCCTCTTCTAGCTCCCTCCTCCCCATCTGCCATGATCTTCAGTTTGCTGCTCCAGAGGTTTGGTTTGTCAGGCTCCCAGATGAAAATGTGATTGATCTGTTGTTCCAGGTCCCTCTGACATACAGCAGGCAAACACTTTTCAACCAGAGAAGCCCACTGTTCTACAGGCTGTGCCATGAGATGGGATTATAACTGGACCACGAATTCCCTTATGGGGTCCAGCCGTGTTTTCCAAGAAAGCTCTCTGAGAACACTGGGCACTTAGCTTACTTCATGTATAAAACACAATAAAATTGTCCTAAAGTTTCCTTCTGGTCTGCTTTAAAATTCTTTTACCTATAGGACAAGAAATCCTGTACAAGGGAACCTATGGCTCCCTGACTCACGACAGCATGATTACTCTGGTAGCAAGAAGTTCAGCTGACATGGCCACAGTCTTGGACATGTGCTGCTGTGTCTACACTGCCAGAAGAATCCTCCTCCAGGGAAACTTCCTGGTCACAATCACTCCCTGCCTTCCTTGCGCACCACCTGCAGCCTCTGACTTTGGCTACCTTTGGCCCCTCACATACATCATACCGAATTGGATCGGAATCTGCCTCACAAGATTTCTGCTGACCCTCTCCAACCTGTGACAGCATCCCTGTCATCAGTTAGCCTGTGGCCTCACCTTTTGTTAGGTCCCCCTCACCTGAGGATCTTTAATGAGACAGAGTTCTGACTATCATTTGCTGCCTTCATTAAACCTTTGAGGTCCCCAGAATGAACTAGGCCATGGTACTCACCATGTCATCTACATGTAAATCTGGCATATTCACAGAGATTTTCTCTTTGTTGACCCCAGTGTTTCAGATTGAGACACGTTAAAATAGCAACTTTGGAAATTTAAATTCAGCTGAAAAGATTTCAAACTGTTCACTTTACTATCCAGTTGCTATTTCAGACAGCAGAGTATGCTCAATTAAACTAAAGATGGTATGTATGCTCCAACTCTCCTGAAAGCTTGGCTGACTTATCCAGTGGATTGTTCTGGAGTTTCACTTAGAGTACCACCCTTTTGGGCACCTTACATGGAAGAATATAACAGGCAAGAAAGTACAATGTTCAACTCACAGTCCCCTGCACTGCAGCAGGGAAGGTAATAGTCACCATGCTTGGAAGGATGGGGCCAGGTTAGCTAGACAATGAACAGAGACAGGTTTCCATGATGGTACATGCTACCCACCCTGAGAGCATCCATCACATCGGGCTGCTCCAGGAGCAGAGGGAAGGTGGCCAGCACAGGATGACTAATTAAATCTGAAACACACAACAGGAAGAATTCAAACTTCATTCCTATTTTACTGTATTTGATCTCAGTATTACCTATTCAGGTTAAAATTATTTCACCAATTATTTGCTGATAACATTTTTTATATACTTTGGCCTCGAAGAGAGTTCAGAGACTCGAAGCTGTCCCTTTTAGTATCTCTGTGTCTCCACCTCTTATCTTAGGAAGTTCTGGAATGAGGTTTCTAATGAGGGTGGCCATACTGGATCTTCTGTACAAGAGAGTGGAAGAACTGGAAGGGCAGTTTGAATTCCTGGTATCAAGCCCTACAAAGACGCCTAAATCCACTCAAGAGTCATGGGCAGCACTCTTGGCCTGATTCCTCTCAATACTATCACAATGCAATGCATTAACTTTGGAAAAGACACATTCAAACAGTAGCATTTGTGTCTGAAATGTCAAGTGCAACATATTCCACCATAATATGCCTCAGTAGAGAACCATCTAGAACAGCCTTCTTGCCTCTAGGAACAGCCAGAAGCCTGCCAGTGAGCCCTGGTGCTGGTGAAGGTTCCTAGTCGTTAAATCTAAGGGCAACTGATAGTTAAAGCTCAAGTGTCTCTTCCTGGCATGACAAGTGTGTGTCTTTGGGTGTTTGTGTGCAGCTTCAGACTTTGCTCTCTTGCACTACGGGGTGAGACTCTGCATATAGAATCTGTACTCACTAGGAACATGAGTCAGCTCTTCTTGGTGCATGTTCCCTCCATTTTCTTTATGATCACTTATTTTAAAAAGCTAGCGGGCTTCCTCATGTCATTTTGTTTTGAAGCTTGGTTGCTTCATTAGGTTGGGTACAACCAAACCTTTCCCATTCATCACACAATGGCACAACATCATATACCCAGCAGGCAGTGGGTGTCTGGATACTTATTGATTTCTAGGGTTCAGGTGATACACACGGAATTAAGATGTTCACTTTAGAGCCAGACTCTTAGAGCACATGCACTCTTCTTGGGAAGTTCATCCATGTATGACAGCTCATGCATTTTTAAAATTATTTTTTTAATATTTCACTTGGAAAAAACTTTTGAACTCAAAACAAATGACAAGGACTGGGAAGATAGCTGAATGGTTACAAATATAAGACAAATATAAGACCTCATACAAATATGAGGTCTGAAGTTTGGATACCCCAGGAACCCAGGCAAATACCAGTTGGGCAGAGCAGCCTATATATATTCTAGTACAGAGGGTGGGTCCTAGAGCTAGCCAGTCAAGCTGTATGGGAGAGCTCTAGGTTCAACTGAGAGGCCCGCCCTCAGTGAATAAGGTAGAGAGTAAGGAATGAAGGTGCCCAACACTAAGCTTGGACCTCCACATATATGTACATCTGTGTCACATGAACTCATACATATACATACAAATTAAAGAGAAACCCTAAGAATAAAAATAGTGCATAGAAACTAGAGCACTACTTGATTTAGTGACATGTAACTGACACACGGGCACACGTCACTACGTTAAGAACAGCTAATTTGGATGACTGGTTTCTACAGGGATGGAAAAGAGGAGGCTGAGTGTGTGGGAATGAGCTGACCACGGGTGCGCTTACGAAGCTGCTCCTAAGTCATGTGTCCACCCTAATGCTATTTAGTGGTCTCAGTCCATGGGCCAGGGGATACAGCCTGGCACAGAACACATACCTTCAAGGAAACACTCCAAACTTACCAGCACTTTGCAGGCTTGTCCTGTCTCTCAGGAGCACATCTCCAAGAATTTGTCGGTAAAATATCAGTAAGTGAGCAGAGCACATGCTCCCCACCAGGGTTTCTGGCAGCAGACTAACAGGGGAGGAAAGACAGTCATTAAACAGACCCTTCCAACCCAATCTACTGGGTTTTTTCTTCTGTGTAGTACTTGAATGAACAAGTTTTACTTTATTATTGGGGAACAAAAAGAGAGTTTACAATTTAAAGGAAAACTTACACCACAACTTGTCACATTAAACCAGAGATAACTAGTCTTCCTTAAGCCAGAGATAACTAGTCTCCTTTAAACCAGAGATAACTAGTCTCCTCAGATCTACATTTTTAAGTCTCAGCACTGTGTTGCATGCTTGTGCTTCTGTGCTAGCGCACACACCCATACTAAGTGTCAAATTAAGGAAAGTCATTAATGCCTTGTTCTGGAAAGTGACTAGTGAGCTACAAGTTTGAACAAAAGCATGTGGCTGCCAAGCCTGATATGGTGGAAGAGGAAGAAATGCCAATTCAGACTGTTCATGGGCTGGGTGGGACACAGGAGGTGTGACAGACTGGAACTGAATCCCGACTTTGCTACTTCCTAGCAGTCAGACTAGGGATTAATTAATCACTCTTGGTGTACTTTTGTTTCCTTATTTGTAGGGTGCCAAACCTAGCACCTGAATTTCAGGTTATTGAAAGGATTAAAATCAAGAAGCTGTTGCGTTTAATACATGTCTAGTATATAGCAAGGGGTCAAAAATAATTTAATACTGAAGTTAAGATATTCTCAGTTTAAAATAGATTATTATAACTTTGGGGTGGAATATGTAATCTCCATGGTAAACACACACATGCACACAGCATGCACAAACAAATATGCATATGATTTATAGACTACACAGAATGGAAACAGAAAGGAAATATAAAAAAAACAAAATAAAAGAAACAGGAAGGAAAACAGTATGGAAGAAAATGAAAACAAAGCTATTAGATATATAGAAAAAAAGTAACAAATGCCAAAATGGTGGTACTCCCATGGGCAACTACATTAAATATAAGTGGATCAAAACTCCCCAGTCAAAATATATAGATTGGAAGAAAGAATTTAAAAGGATAAATCCAGCTGGGTGGTGGTGGCACACGTGCCTTTAATCCCAGCACTTGGGAGGCAGAGACAGGCGGATTTCTGAGTTCGAGGCCAGCCTGGTCTACAGAGTGAGTTCCAGGACAGCCAGGGCTACACAGAGAAACTCTGTCTCAAAAAACAAAACAAAACAAAACAAAACAAAAGTTAAAAAAGGATAAATCCAACTATATAAGAGTCTTGCTTTAGATTCAGGACAAACAGATTTCAAAGGTTACAAGGGTGGCTTCAATTTTTATAATTAATCCCTTATTTTAATATCTAGTTTATTTTAGAAGGGAAAATGATCACACAGGTAAACTTCAGGCTTCCAGCTGACTGGAAGAAGAGATGAATGAGGCCATTAGGCTGGTGTGAAGGAGCAAAGGAGTCCACGGGTACCTAGCTTCACAGAATGGAGATGAACATCGCTGACCACTCCCTGTCCCTGTATTTCTAGGCTGTCTTACCTAGTCATATGCACTATTTGGCTCACTGAGCACATAAAAGTCCTGATTTGGTATAAATTCAAGGTAGATTTCATGACTGACTATTGAGGAGCATTTATGGTGCCCTGATGCCACCATGGCCTCTGAGGTCATGTTGAGACTCCTAAGGGTAGTCGGCTGTGGCCTCTGTGGCAGCGCTCCGAGGTATGCCAAGTACAGGATCTGTCACTGATTTTGCCAGGGGAAGGGGTGGAACCTTCCTCCCTTTTATCTGTCCCTCTTTTTCTTACAGATCTGCCTGCTCCATCTGTCTAGAAGGCGTGGGCACTCCTTCAGGGTGGGTGCTCCTTTCCTTCCACCTCCCTACTACATGAGGCAATGGTATTTCACTTTATTTCTTAGAAATTGCCTAATTTTTTCCAATCCTAAGATGACCAGAAAGTTCTTAAGCTACTAAATAAAGGTTGAGCTGAAAAAATATACTTTAAAAAAGTGAAAAAAAATACTTTACTCCAATGTCACCTGAGGATCGGCAAACCGGGAACAGAAGGGTGTAATGAATGGGCCCCAGCAGTAACAGTCTTACTGTGTTTTTAACAAGAGTAAAATGTAAGTAAAAGAGAGAAAGGTGTGGAAATGTGATAAAGAAAAATAACTGTAGGAATTTACACAGACCATTGCTCTAGGCAAATGCTTCCTTTCATTCAGAACCCAAAGGGCCTGAACTTGAGCTCTCTCTCCTCAGGGCCTCAGAAGTGTGCCTTTGGTCAAATTGAGTCAGATTAAGTCCTTTTGTAAAGTGGCTCTAGGTGTGTGTTGGGGGTGCATGTTGGAGTAGGTGTGGCCTTGTTGGAGGAAGTGTGTCACTATGGGAGTGGGCTTTGGGACCCTCTTCCTAGCTGCCTGGAAGACAGTCTTCTCCTGTTTGCCTTCTGAAGATGTAGAACTCTCAGCTCCTCTAGCACTGTGTCTGCCTGAATGCTGCCATGCTTCCTGCCCTGATAATGGACCGAAACTCAGAACCAGTAAGCCAGCCCCAATTAAATGTTTGCCTTTATAAGAGTTGCCTTGGTCATGATGCCTCTTTACAGCAATGGAAACCCTAACTAAGACAGGGACTAAAAGAAAAGGACACATAGCAGACAGGCAGGAGAGGGTGGGGACAGTGAGAGTGAAGTCCCAGAGAAGCACAAGACGACACAAGCAGGAAGATCTCTACTTAGCAATTATGACACACATCTATTTCTGTGCCTACTGTGAGCTACATTTAACACATACCTTGCTGATCCCTGAAGTCAGAGGGACAGAGACTAAGGACTTTTGGCCATGACCCTACAACACAGGGCAGTGTTCATAGTTTCAGAGAGATGGCCAGTTTGATCTTGAGGCAGTGGAGTTATCTGAGAAGCAGTATTTGAGCCAAGAAACAGCATTAAGAGCTGTCCCTGACAGCTGCTTGGGAGCCCTGCAGGCCTGGCCACAGGTAAGCAGTGGGGCAGCACAGTAACAGGAGACTGAGGACAGAACTGGCTTTCTCTCACAAAGGCTGCTACAGTGAGGCTTGTGTTCTCCACTACTCGAAAAGGAACAAGTTTTCAAGGGAAGATTGGCCAAATGGGGGAGGGTAGATTAGAGGCTTTATGAATATCTTAGGGACAAAAAAGTTAAGAGTAAATAGTGTCCATGAACACATTATTAATGACTGCTGACAGACTGAATTGGAAAGTATACCTCACACTTCAGCACAACCTGGACTGAAAACAGTCATGTTCTGAGGGGCAGACCAAGCCTTCTTTCACTTCTGTACTTCATTAAAAAATTTTAAATTATATTATTTACTTGTGTAGAGGGGACAGGGAACAGAAGAAAACTTTTAGGAGTTGGTTTTCTCCTTCTACCACATGGACCCTGGGGATCAAACTCAGATGGTCAGGCTTAGCAGCAAGCACCTTTATCTGCTGAGCCATCTCACTGGCAACTCTTCCCTACTTCTTGATGACTGAGGAGCCTGGTCCTGGCAGGGCAGGCCTCTGCAGCAGGCTCTGCCCTGTACATCTTCCTCCCTTTCCCTGACTCCCTGTGTGCCCCATGGTCACATCCCTCAACCCTTCAAGGCCTATTTAAAGACAATGTCTGATTTTACCAGACATGCTCATTTGAACAAATCCTGGAATCACATTTATATTTATCTATGCATAAAATAATTATACACATAGAGAACAGCACTAGGTTTCTATGTGTGTCACACATAAATATGAGAAAGTATTTTTATATGCTTCCTTTCATTAATCCTATTACAGCTTTATAGGGTTGACACTGTTTTCAAGTTTGAGACCCTGAGAGAGGTGCTTCAGTGAGCACAGGGCACCGAGTGAGGCTCTGGCAGATCTGAGATGTCACTCATGTAGACTCAACCTTCCTGAGGAAATCGAACGTTCAGCAAATTTAGAATGGTTCACCCCTCTCTCCCAAGGCAATATCAGTGCTGTCAAGAATGTACAGTAACTGACACTTTCCTGCTTTGCTAGTGACATGGTAAATGGCACAGTCATATGGACAACCGTCTGGCAGCATCTTATCAAGTTAAAGTAATGCTCTATAAGCTAGCAATTTCATTCTCAGGTATTTTTACCCATAAGAAATGCAGACATATGTATTGTGCACACATATTATATGCAAACATTTGGAGAAGCTTTATTTCTGTCTGACCAGATCTAGAAACACCAGACAATGCATGAATAAGCCAACAGTGGCCTATCCATCAAGTATAACGCCATCTAGAAAATGTGAAAACTTGTTCCTTTTCACGGAGTGGAGAACACAAGCCTCACTGTAGTGGCCTTTGTGAGAGAAAGCCAGTCCTGTCCTCAGTCTCCTGTTGCTGTGCTGCCCCGCTGCTTACCTGTGGCCAGGCCTGCAGGGCTCCCAAGTGGCTGCTGTCAGGAATAGCTCTTAATGCTGTTTCTTGGCTCAAATACTGCTTCTCAGATAACTCTCCACTGCCTCAAGTTACTAACAGGATCACAGCATGGATGGGCCTCCAATGCATCTCACTGAGTGAAGAAGCCAGACCCCAAGTCTACCCAGTACCATTCATGAGGGTTTGGAAAACGTAGAAGTGTTGAGGAAGAAGACATATGAATGGCTGCTTGAGACTGGGGCTGGGGTACTCATTGCAAAGGGACATGAGAGAACTTTTTAAAGAAAGAGAGAAGGGGGGAGAGGGAGAGGGAGAGGGAGAGGGAGAGGGAGGTGTTCTCCATCTTGCCTGCAGGAACTGTTACATCCACCATTGTGAACATTTGTCAAGACTGAGAACTCCTTGATAAAAAGGTAATTTTACTACACGTGAGTTAGATATTCCTAAACCTGACACAGAAAAGAAGGTTTCTAAGCATAGGACTACACATTGATAAGCCTCAGCTATTCAAGAGAGTCTAAATTATCTCATGTGACATCTATTATTTAAAAATATAGGTGTATAGATGTGTGTGTCACATGGAGGCCAGAAGATGATTTGTGGATGGCTGTAAGCTGCGTGACATGGGTGCTGGAATCTAGCCCCAGTGCTCTGGAAGAGCAGCCAGTGCTGTCAACCCCTGAGCCATGCCTCTGGGCTTTAGATCCACCATCTGAGCTAACTGGAGAGGAAGTCAATCTAAGCTTTATTACTATTGCATTGCCTGTCTGGATTTTTGGCAGAGTACTCAAAGAGGCAAGAGCAACTGACAGAAGTCAAACATGCATCCTCTTCCCACTTATCCCCCAGCCCATCCCCCCAAGGTCAGGCCAGCCACTCACCTGAGCATGGCCCTTGACCTCCTGTTCAGAGATCGCAGTTTCACCAGAAGTTGAGGCTGCCTCCGTACGCTTATCATCTGACGGAAAACACTGCCCTGTGCTACAAAAACATCAGGAATATGGAGTCAGAGCTGAAGTGCTTGGGACAGCATTTATTTAAACACACATTCAGTGAAATTCTACAGCCAGTGGAGCTGGACTGCAATGAAAGGCAGTGGTCACCCACCAGCTTCTGTGAGCCTGTCTTGACATGAATGTGAATGTGTCTCCAGAGGGCACCTCACAAGCCGCTGTGACAGATGCTCTGTGGCATGAAGGGAGCTGATAAGATATGCCTGGCTCCAGATGGAACCAACAGATCCTTAGACTCCAAAGCCCTGCCTGTTCTCCAAAGCCAGACTCCCACTGGCACTGTGGGGCACTGGCACTGGTGAGGATCCGGAGCACCAAGCATGACCCAGATAGTGGAGGAGTGCTGCCTGTCTGCTGGCTTACACTCTATAAGGAAGGACCATATCTGTCTTACTTCCCATGTCCCTGCTTCTCCAGGACACTGCTGGGTGGATGGTATTAAGGGCACTTGGGGTTTGGGGGGGATGGTAACTTGGCATGCATTCAAAAATCTACATCCTTTGAATTAGCATACTCTACTCATTCTGTGTCTGTCAAGTATTATGCTGACAGTTTTATGTCAACTTGCCACAGCTAGAGTCATTTGAGAGATAGGAACCTCAGCTGAGAAAATACTTCCACAAGATCAGGCTGCAGACAAGCCTGTATGACATTTTCTTAATTAGGGATTGATGTGGAAGGGCCCACCCCATTGTGGGTGGTGCCACTCCTGGGCTGGTGGCCCTGGGTTTTAAAAGAAAGCAGGTTGCCGGGCAGTGGTGGTGCACGCGCCTTTAATCCCAGCACTTGGGAGGCAGAGGCAGGAGGATTTCTGAGTTCGAGGCCAGCCTGGTCTACAGAGTGAGTTCCAGGACAGCCAGGACTGCACAGAGAAACCCTGTCTCAAAAAAAAAAAAAAAAAAAAAAAAAAGAAAGAAAAAGAAAAAAAGAAAGCAGGTTGAGCAAGCCACAAGGAACAAGCCAGTAGGCAACACTCCTCCATGGCTACTACCCTGTCTGAGTTCCTGTCTTGACTTCCTTCCATGATGGAAGACCATGTGAAAGTGTACACCAAATAAACCCTTTCCTCCCCAAGTTGCTTCTGTTCATGCTTCATTATAGCAATAGAAACCCTGACTAAGCCAGGCATCAACGTAGTGTCCAACAAAAAGGAACCGAGGCAGGGTCCCCATTCTTCACAATTCCCAACCTTAGAGTCTCAGAGGTGTCAACAAAATAATCACTTAGATGAAAGTGGCTTAATGTTCACACTGATGGCACATGAAGGACTTTGATTCCAAGGGAAAGTGTATTTTGTTAGGACACGGCTGTGCTCTTCGATGCTCTACTGCTCGCTTCATTTACGGCAAGGAGGGTAATATGGTTCTAGATGGCACTCAGAGGTCCATGAGTGCTGCAGAGACGGCTCTGTGGTTAAGAGCACTGGCTGCTCTTGTAGAGGACCCAGGTTCAGTTCCCAGTACCCACATGGTGGCTTACAACCATCTGTAACTCCAATACCAGGGAATCTGACAGCCTCTTCTGACCTCCACAGGTACCAAGCATGCATGTAGTACAGAGACATACATGCATAGAAACACATACATAAAAAACAAAGTAAGTCTTTAAAGAATACCTATATATTAAAGGCTGCTCACCATCTTGGATAGTATGGAGGTAGTGGAACCATTTGGGGGTGGGGTCTTCAGTGACATAATCAGGCCACTGGGGCTGTGCTTACAAAGGAGATACAGGGACCCTTGCCCCTCTGTGCTGCTCCCCAGCTATTGAGGGATAAAAGGTTTCTTTACCACGTGCTTTGCCATGGTTCTTTGCTAAAAGAGACCCGAAGCAATAGGGCCAACTGACCACAGACTGAACCCTGTGGAAATGTAGACCCCAATAAACCCTCCCTCCTTAAGCTTGCTTATGGCAGGGTCATGGTGATAAGAAGCCAGCTGACAGAGGGTCACACAGAAGGGCTGTACCTCTTCTGGACACTGAAGGGTCCACTTCAACACCTTTTTCATAAGGAGTGCCGCCATTTAAGAAGAGTTCATATGTTCTGGAAAAGAACAGTACATGTGACAGGTCCTTGTCATGGGCATTTGTGCACTAGACTCTGCCAGGAACACCTTTTAGCAGGAAGTTATTCATGAACATCTTACTAAATTCATGGGTAAATGAGAATCAAGGTGCTGACTCTTCCATGGGGTAGCAACTCAACAGACAGACTCTCTCCTACGCACAAACTGCAGGAAGTGTGGTATCCACATGGAGAGAAGGAAGGTTCTGACATCACTGAAATGATTTGACTTTAATGATTTGTGCCAATAAGTGATGGCCTTTATTTTTCTAATGTATTGAGTCATTACTTGCAATGAAGTCACTATTCAGCTGTGCCCCCTTCTCCTCCTTGCTAGCTATGTGCTGCACCTCTGAGTTGTTGCCCCTGTACCCCATGTGCTTCTCTTCTGTGGAAGTGTGACTTAAATTAAGAGAGAAGCTAAAAGGCTCAGTTATCCCCACTGCACTCCTAGGGAGGTTTCCCTGGATCCACCCACACAGCTATTGATGAGCAGCACTTCCTTCACACACACACTAGAGCAATTCAAAACAGCTGGGACCCCACTTCTGGAAAGGTAGACACAGTATGTAGTCTACTAAGTACATTATAACCCTGAGTTATGGTATAATATATTACCATTTCTATTATAGTGGGTATAAAATAATTTTTTTAAAAAATTAGAAGAAATCAGGGTTCCCATGATGATGTAGTGATAACAAATGCCTTCTCCTCCTTGCTAGGGTGATGTCAGACAACTGGTGGCCTGGACTCTTTATCTCTGCCCAGTGGCGAGGAGGCCACGAGGGTGTTGCCTAAAGGAATCCTCATATGAGTCTTTGAGATAGGAAGATTTAATCTCCAGATTAAAGATGAATGAACCTGAGACCTGGAGATGTTAAGGCCCCTGAACGGTCATTCAAGAAGAGCTGGGCCCAGAGCTCCAGACAGGAAAATTTCCCACCCAGAATCTCAGTTCTGATCTGCCCCTGTCTGCCTCTCTGTATTCCTCCTGGGAGTTCACTGCTCATGTCCTTGACTTAGGTCTTTATTTTCTCCTATTTAAAAGCGAGATTATCTATTTCCTTGTTAGTTCTTGAGACAGGAGGCAATCTCCTCTCTCTTGTATGTGTAACACAGGTATTGGCCCAGTCTGCTCTTGCTCTTACAGCTTCAATTTGTTTACAGTTATTGCCACTGCAATTTCAATGACCTGCCTGTTATGGAAGGCAGAGGACCGCAGACTCACCTCTGTTCTCTGATGCGTGCCAGGCTCTATTTTCAGCCCAGTGAAGTTTGGTGAATCCATGGGGACTGTGGGCTGAAATGTCTTCAGCACACAGCCCAGGTGAACATCTTTTAAAACACGGATTCTCTGGGTCATTTCTATCTCATTAGGGTGAGCATGTGAACTTTTTCCCATGCTCCCTCAAACTTTAAGATCAAAATGAGAACCCTCTCCCCAAAACCTGAGCTATTAACAGAACACTCCTGTGGTAGATAGTCCCTAGGGATTTTCTACAAATCACTCCCTTGTAAGGAATAGTGAGCCCACTTACTTTGCTGGAATAGGAACGCCACTGGCATCGAAAAGCTTAAGAAACACCCAGCCACAGCTTAACTCTCCTCTCTCACCAGTCGACTGAAATAAAACGAACACATGGAGCAGCGCTTGAGCTAGCCACGCACGAGCACACACCACGTCCTCACGGTGAGCACACACCACGTCCTCACATTCTCTCTAAGCACCGAGCTGCCCTCAAAGAAAAGATGTTGCCTCTTGCCAGGACTCCATTTTACTTGTAGGTCAGGAGTTAAAAGTGGTACTTCAAATGACAACTCTGCTTTATTAAACCTCACCCTGAGGTAACTGTTGCCACTGGGTCTTTAGCGCTATTCAGTTTTGGAAGAGTGTCAAATCACAGGACACTACATGGCATTTGAAGCTTTGTTTTACAAGGGAATGGACTACAGGAATCAATAACTCAAGGATCCCTTTCCTCAGCTTCCCTGCCAATTGCCAGGCATCAGTGGGGCTCACCTGTCTCCTCATGTCCTACCCATCTATCTTGAAGATGTACAGGTCCATGCAGTAAATTAATGTGATCTTCCTGTGACAGCTCTCTGCATAGCTGCAAGGCCAAGTTTATATGCTACACGGGTCAAGCTGGGATCAGAATATGGACATGTGGAATCTGGTGAGTGTGCACTCCAGTGAGTTTAGTGTTTCTCTGACAAGCATTAAAGCATACTTCTGATGTTCCCTTGCCCTTCTCTCAGGTCCCTGAGCAAGAACTGTGACCTACAAAGTTAAGTGGCCTCAGCTCTAGGAGGACAGAATGCCCTCAGGACTTTTTAATTATCTCTGGGAAGTCCCAGCCTTTCTTTATGAGATTTTATTCTATAGAAGCAACTGGAGTTCAGTGATGCTATAAATACCAACAAAACCCTTCTGCCATAACTAACAATTAGCATTACCTCACACAAATGAGAACCGGGGTGGAAAGATGGCTCAGTGAGTCAAGGTGCTTGCTGCCAAACCTGACAACCTGAGTTCAATGCTCGGGACCACACAGTGAAAGGAGAGAGTTGACTCCTACAATTTTTCTCTGACTTCCATACTGTGCCCACCCACAAATAAAATGTAATACTTTTTTAAAAAAAATGAGAGTCAGTATCAATCTGGTTCCTTCACAGTTCAATGTGATACACAGAAATCCTTCTTTGTTAAGTGTGAATTTCCCCCTAAAGCCATGTGTGTCTGAATACTTGGTCTCCAGCTAGTATACTGTTTGGGATTCTGGTTGCAGAACCATTAGGGGTGGACCCTGTTGGAGGAAGTGGGTCAATGGGGGCTGCGGCCTTGAGGTTACAGTCCAGTCCCACTTGTTCACTGTCTGCCTCCCTCTTGACTGCTGCTGCACTGAGCCTAGGCCTCCCTCTGCTGCCTAGCATGCTTCCCTGCCATGGTGGACTGATCCCTGGAACTGTGAGCCACAATAAACTCTTCCCCAGCTGCTTTTGTCAGGGTGTTTTACCAGAACAACACAGTGTAGCTAACACAGCTTCTACCACTTTGCTTGTAAATCAGATACAGATCTAACTGTTCCCTTCTGATGCATTAGACAGTTTGTCATCCAATTTTGACATACATTGCGAATGTAAGAAATTCCAAGTTCAAATAATATCCCAAGGTCTGGAGTTGAAGAATTGGACCTGATAAAACAGTCACCATCGAGCAAGCATGGCAAGATGCCGGTGACCTAGAAAGATAAGGAAGCCAAAGTTACTGTCAGAGATGAAGAGTGGGCTGGGCTTGCAGCCCTCTCGGCAGCAAAGGGCTCATGCTATAATAGAAGGAGAGAGGGAGAGAGGGAGAGAGGGAGAGCGGGGCACAGAGATGGCTCAGTGAACAAAGGGCTTACAGCCAGGCCTGAAGACTTGAGTTTGATCCCTGGATGGACCCACAAAGTAGAGGAGAGTACTGACTCCTACAAGCTACCCTCTGCCCTTCTTTTGCATGTTGTTTTAGTATATGGTATGCTAAAATAGACAAATGTAAAACAAATAAACAAACAAATAAAACCGTTTTTGAAAGTAGATGGACCAGATTCACACATGAATGATTGGAAGCAGAAACATTTAGCTTTTCTGTTGACAGGGAAGTTACTTTCAACTTTGATTTGTTTGTTTGTTTGGTTTTTAATTGTTGTTTATTTTTTTCTTAGAACAGGCAAAGAACCATCAGTCAGTCCCCAGAGTTGTGACCAAGCACATCCTGTATGGTATATTACACTATGTCTAAAGGACTGAATACCACGGTGCATGTGGCCTGTCCAAGGCCAGTGTCCATCAGCAGTGGGTATTGCCGCTGTTCACAGATGTCCATGCACATGTAAACTCCCACATAACTAGAGCATGTGATGTGCACAGCTTCATTCAAGAAAAGCACTCACACTTATTCCTCCCAGTAGCTCATCCTCACATCCCGGGAAAACAGGAAATCCTACTTTTAATGCTGCATATTGCCAGAGATGAGGGAGCAAACTGTGAAGGTCTGAGGTAAAGGACAAGCAGTGCTCCCTAGAGGCAGGTGTGAGGGAACAAAGGGCTTTGAAGAGCTGTGCCACAGAGCAGTGAGGACACAAGACAGTCACCTCAAGTGAAGTGGCTGAGCCTCCAGCAGAGCCTGTGCCCTCTCCCTGACCTGTCTTGTGTTAAGACCTGATGGAGTAGGAGGTAGGGAACTGAAGGGCTTCTAGGGTGCAGTGGAACAAAGGAGTTAGCTGTGGGAGGGAGGTAAATGCTGAAGCCATTAGTCCTTAGAGGTAGGAAAAAGCAAACCACAAACAATACTGTCAAAAGAACACGAAGACTCCCTTGACTCACTAGCATCTGTGTGAAACTGACTCAGGGGCTTGAAGCCCTAACCTCACCGCAGCCTCAATGGGATCTGGGTGTAACACACCAGTCCCTGAGGCGTTGTCTTTGATTTCTATCTGAGGGAAATACCGAGTGCCATTAGCACAGCTGGAAGATTTCATTTTGAAAAACAGACCAATCCTAATCTTACTTCTTGCTTTCTGCTCCACGAAAGGACATTTCCTAAAATTGAAATACACCAAGGCTGTGGTCACAGCTTCAGTGAGTCAGGGGCCTGAGGGACTCTTGCCAAGAATAATAAAAGCTATAAAGATTTCCATTTGGCCCTATACACTGAATGTTCCATGCAGCACACTCTGGAAGCCTTGGACCCAACTCACACTTCACAGGTGAAGGCGCTCCCTCAGCAGGTGCCTTACCTGAGGAGAAAAGGTCCATGTTTTTGGCTTTTTAGGTTGCCACACGGCTCGGACTGTATGAATATTACTCAGGACCTGAAATGAGATTTTTTTTTTTCATTTGAAACTACATGTAGGGGCCTATGAAACATCGTACCTCTGACACCTCTGAGTCCCAAACCACCACCAATGAATGGCTCTGTGTGTGTGTGTGTGTGTGTGTGTGTGTGTGTGTGTGTGTGTGTGT